TGTCGAAAGCGACCCCTCCCGCCTGGTGTTCTGCTTGAGACCCCATCGAAGAGGGACGTGGGATGCAGTCCGTCACCTCTAAGAAGCGACCAGCCTCCCCAGACATCCCGTCATATCAGATAAAGTCCAAGAGGGCCTCAACGTCTTCTCAACGCAGACTTCGTACCCCCAGGGCAGCGTCATCCTCTAAAGGGAAATCTACGAAGTCGTCGAGAACTTTCTCAGCGGAGATCGTTCCAGCAGCAGAATTGGGCCTCTACGATGACCAGCCGATCATCATACCCGACATATTCATACAAGAAGAAGCGACCAGTGACAGCGACAGTAACTTCAGCAGAGATCACCATGCAGCCTGATGCCTCTACACTGATGTCAGACGAGATCTCTGAGGGCCCCACCGCTAACAGCGCAGAGAGGGCACCATCTACTTCGTCGCAGATCATCCCAGACGATCTAATGAAGCAGATCATGATCATGATGGAAGGCCACTACAGACTGGAGAAGCAGCCATCCCAGGGTCCGAGCCTTCGCGAAGGCTCCAACGTAGACAGCACCCCAGAGGCACCCCCCGTCAACGTAGCAGCCACGACGATGCCGCCTTCGCGAAGGAAGTCACAGACCACCTCGACGAAGGACCCAGATGTACAGCCTTCGCGAAGGCCTTCGCGAAGGCGGGAAAGATCATCACCTTCTTCGGCGTCATACTCAGATACGGAATCTGATCATCAGACCTCACGGAAGCCTTCGTGAAGGTCATATCACCGTTCCCCAGGACCGGACGCGAAGGACACCTGAACCCAGATTGTCATCATCTAGAAGGACATCGAGGGACTACACAAGAGCTTCGCGAAGCTACCAACGGTCCCCTCACAGGTCTCCAAGAAGATCAACCTATCGATGTAAATCACCAAGACGATCGCCTCGCCGATCACCACGCCGATCTCCACGTACATCACCACGTCGATCACCTCACAGGTCTGCACACAAGCCTACAACCAGATCTCCACAAGCGTCAAACGATATAGAGATAGAGCCACACAGTCCAACATCAGAAGAGCAACAACCTCTCATTAATGATGATGGAATGGAAGATGATGGAGGAATTATTTTCTCAGATGCAGAGATAAGATATTGGATGGTCAATAATCTAGATCTCTCATCACCTTCCAAGAGTGGCAACTCGGCGCAGACATACCTGATGAAAGAAGACGATGCAGATGCTATCACACTACCCCCAATCGACCGATTAGCAAGGCGGTACCACAGAACCTAGATACAGCATTCCACAAAGCCACGAAAAGTTCAGACACCACATCTGCCAAACTTTCACGCCAAGAAGTTCTCCACGCATAATATGGACCCCTTCTTCAAGGCAAGACATCGATGAGAACTACAAGCTGATCTCCGATGCCAAGAACAAGTACTACAAGATTGATGATCGAAAATTGGTTCAGATAGAAACCATGACCGAGACGTATGTTCTTTGGTCTAAATAGATCTAGAACAATAAATGAGACACTTATCACCAGATTTCGTAACACGACCTCTGAAGATGATAGAATGATTTACTCGGCCCTACTGATGCAAAAGAAGGACCAGCAGTTCTTAACAGATCATCTCACGCCTGTCTCAGCAGCACTGACCTTAGCTCGTCGTCAAGGCCTCCTCGCTTCCTGCAACTGGGGTGAGAACTTTACAGCTCCACTATATACAGCCCGTGGTCTTCCCCATCCATCTTTGACGGAGGAATAGACAAAGTCTCCAAGGAAGTCACCAAGGATTCCAGAGAAGTCCTGATGATTAAATCGATGGACACGCTAGCCAGTGTCATTCGACAGACTTCACAAAGATACTCAGGGAGATCTAAATTCACGGGCCTACAAAGAGCAAGAGACAGGAAGATAGCCAGTTCCAGGGGAAGAGATTCTTTTAACGCCCCATATGGCAACTATAGAGGAGGGTCAGGAAGAGGCAGGACACCCAGAGGTTCCCGCAACTATAAACGCTGAAAGACAGGTTCGGAACGACTGGAGTCTTCCACCCCCAGCCGTTCCAGTACAACCGTCACAAGTGGGTGGACGTCTCCAACTACACTGGGAAAACTGGGGAATGCTTCAAGACACCTATGTCTCCAACATTCTTCAACACGGATTTCGTATCCCACTACAGGCCAAGCCTCCCCTAACAGTCAACCCTCACAAGTTCGACGTACAGGCACAGCAACTACCAAAGTTAAGAGAGGCTGTTACATTACTCCTAACCAAGCAGGCCATAGAAGTAATAGATCAAGGAAACATCGAACCAGGTTTCTACTCCCCAGTTTTCCTAGTACCCAAGAAAATCGAATGTCTGCGAAGGGATTTGTTTAGCAGAGCAGGAATTCAAAACCCATCTATATGTAGACGCGTCGCTCCAAGGCTGGGGAGCTCATCTCACCAACCGGACGGCATCAGGGTTATGGAATCAGCTAGAAAGCAAACTCCACATAAACTCATTAGAGATGAAAGCTGTAATCAACGCCATAAGACATTGGAGCAACATTCTACAGAATGCACACCTAATGATTCATACCGACAACTCGACAGTGGCGTTCTATGTGAACAGGCAAGGCTCAACGAGATCGCCGAACCTTTTGACTTTAACCTTTCAACTGTTCGAATTAATCCAAGATCTAAATCTACATGTCAAAGCATGCCACATTCCCGGAGCCAGGAATATACTAGCAGACGCGCTCTCTCGGCCACATCTACCGTAAGCCACAGAATGGATGCTCAATACAGAGATATTTGCACAGATAATCAAGCAAATAGGGCTGCCGCTAGTAGATCTATTCGCCACAAGATTCAACAATCAACTACCGACATTAAGTGTCACCAGTTCCAGACCCACAAGCATGGGCAACGGACGGCTCTAAGCATATCATGGGAAGGCCCCAATGCGTGCATCGTTTCCGCCCCAGCAATAATACCTCAAGTATTACAGAAATCAGTCAAACACAGAGCCTACAACTCACTTTGGTCGCGCCCTACTGGCCGGCCAGAACGTGGTTTCCCATTCTAATACAAGAAATCGGTCAACCGGCACTAGAGCTACCCAAGCGCTCAAATCTGTTAATACATCCACACACCAAACAGGTGCACAGAAACCCAGAAGTATTCAAACTTCACGTATGGACTGTATTAAAATGTGTTTAAACAAGAGAGGATATTCTACCAGGGCGGCAAAAGCGGTCACGCTTGCCTTACGATACTCGACTCGTAACTTGTACGACGACAAGTGGCACAGTTTCGAAAATTACGCAGCAAACAAGGGTTTTACAGCGAGAGATGCTACGCATCCACAAGTGGCAGACTATTTGTGTTACTTACGGCAAAACAAACATTTAAAAGTCTCGACATTGTCCACATATCTTGCCGCGCTTAGTTCTGTGATTTCTATGAGAACGGGTGTTAAGTTGACAAAAACACCAGAGTTACTGGCCTTACTACGTGCTTTCCGATTGGGAGGACCAAAAGCGGAAGTTCCACGCCCCAGCTTGGGATCTGAATGTAGTGCTACAACACCTCACAAGTGAGGATTATGAACCGTTGGAATCGACAACTTTTGAATTTCTCTCACAGAAAACAATTTTCCTATTATCTCTAGCCACGGCAGCCAGAATATCTGAAATTCACGCTCTAGATTATGAGAGGATACAGTTTGATGACAATCAAAACACAGCGCACCTGGGATTAAGATGGGATTTCATCGCCAAAAATCAACTACCAGGCCAACCAGACAGGTTATTTCACGTCCCTGCACTATCCTCGATTCTCGGATCTCAAGATACATTGGACTTATCGCTATGCCCAGTACGAGCTCTCAAAATCTATTTACGTCGTTCCAAAACAAGGTGAAGATCGCTCAAAAGATTGTTCATCCCTTTATCGCCTACTAATCAGACAGAAGTCTCTCGTACCACCATATCTATATGGATAAGGACTGTCATTCTACGCGCCTACAAGGCAGCAGGACTGGACCCTCCACATGAAATCAGGGCATTGGCTTCCACCCTCGCCCTTCACGGTAACTGTTCATTGAATACAATTATGGAAGGATGCTTCTGGAAATCTAACATGGTGTTTGCTAATCACTATCTGAGAGATATCACCACCGAGGACGTCTCTGGCATTCACCATTTCGGTCCTTTGGTCCTCGCTCAGCAACTGACAGTCCCTCGTAGGCGTTAATATTCACCCCCACGAGATTATTATGTATATTATACATACATTATTTAGCTTATAACTCTACGGAGTTCTAGGGCTATGTATATATTTAGCTTAGGTTATTCAACCTTAAGCTCATACTGAGTTTTATGTTCAGTTGTACAGCTTCTCTATCAGAGTCGCTTTTATATCTATTTATATAATTTGGTATATCAGTATATGAGTAATGTAATACCCCAGTTATGGTAATATATAACCTATGGCTTATTATAGAGGAAATATCCTAAGTCAATGCCTTTATGAAGTTCCCGCAGGGGTTATTACAGTATAAGTTATTTAAATCACTAATTATAAATCCAAAGTATTCTGTTTATGCCCACCTCCACTCGAGGATTCTACAAGCAAAGAGCATGAGTCAGGATAAGGAAAAATATGTAATTTTTGAGTAAAATTGATATTTTATACTTATCCTGACTCATGAGGTCAGCCCTCCCATCCTCCCCACATAACACTTTGGATTTCCCTGTAAATTCAAGTGTTGGGCTCGCAAAATCAGGAGAGAGTGAAGCATGAGGCCAGAGGGTGGCGACACCTGTTCCCGCGCTTACGGCAAGGGAGGCAACTCTTGGGTGAGTACCAATTAGTGATTTTACATTGAAGGGAGCTTCAATTAAGGAGATACAAGTGTTCCACTATGTTCGCAAGAGGAAGGGGACAAGCAAAAGAGCATGAGTCAGGATAAGTATAAAATATCAATTTTACTCAAAAAATTACATATTTCTTTGATTTCCATAGACAAAGGTGACCGTGGTCCATCTGTGAGGGATGACCTCTCAGACCAGGAGGATGAGTCTCACAGTGCAAGGGAGCACCAACATACAGGGAATTACAGCGAGGAGGAGCAGGTAATGTCACCCCTTCAGTTTACTAATATGTTATGTACACTTCTGTCGGGCTCTATTTTAAGTACTGTCATTCAGCCCTTCAGTCGGTCGGTCAACTCATGTATTTTACCTCCCTTGTCCCGCCAAAATCGGCACGTGACCTGCCATGCCTTGCTCCTCACTCTCTTCGATATAAGCCCCACGCAGGTTTACAGGGAAACCCGTGTGGTGAGAGGGTCAACCACTTAACGGGATTCCCTGCATGATTGTATTCACGTCAGCGTTCGCTTGATGTATATACCCCCTGGGAATTTTCTTCTTCTGCGGCTAACTTCAATATTTCTTGATGCTTGTCGGAGGACCACCTTCTTATACATTTGTATTAGAAGTAAACTTCTTAAGTTTTGTGGATTTAGTATACTAGACGCCTGGTTGTCTATATATCTGCAACGACCCAATATGTTACGGTAAAAACTTTACAGAAACTGGAATCGCGACCCATCTGTTAAGGCAAGAACATTACCATAACTGAGTCTATGTATCACTCATGCGCTAACTTATTTCGTAAGTTATCTCGGGGTACATGGACTCTCAGCCGGTGGCAATGGACAGTTGCCTGGCGTCAACGAATCTGCGTGACAAGGGTGAGTTTTTTCAACGTCTGGCCGGTACAGTGAGTTGTTGCGCTACTAAGACTAGAGGGCCGAACTGGTGTAGCCCTGATACATTTTCTGTGGAGATGTCTTTCAGGTAGTGATTAGCGAAGACAGTGTCTGACTTTCAAAAGCAGCCTTCGATTATAGATGATACAGAGCAGTTTCCATGTAGGGCGAGTGTCGGGGCCAATGCTCTTGGAGGCTCTAACCCTGCTGCTTTATAGGCTCTTAGGATCACCGCTCTGATCCAGAAGGAGATCGTTGTACAGGATACTTCTACAGTTGTAGCGGTTGATAGCGGGATGAATAGACGCTTGAACTTCCTTCTTCTCGTAGCAGATTCTCAGCGCGCTCTGACCGGGCATAAAGATAAATCTTGAGTGTCTTCTGGACCCAGGATTGTTGATAATGCCGGAACGTAGAACTGACGATCCGGTTGGCCCGGTAGCTGGTTCTTGGCTATAAAGTTCCATCTAAGGCCTAGATGGACTGCTTCCCTTCTTCCCGTGTCGAATCTCGTACGGCTGAAGCAAGGGCGTGTATTTCTGACATCCGAGCAGCAGTAGCCAAGGCAAGGAGGAATATCATCTTTTGAGTTAATAACTCAAATGTCGTCTGCGTCAGCGGTTCGTATACATCACTGATGAGGTGCTGCAACACTATGTTGAGGTCCCTTGCTGGTGCTCTGAACTTCTGTTGTTGATCTTCCAACTTGAAAGATCTCAGCAGGGCCACCAGTTCAGGCACCTTGGTCTACCTCACCCGTCTTCATGGTGATGACCGAGCTGATTGCCGCCAGGTATGTAGACAGCGTAGAGCCCTCCAGATGTCTAGTGGACCTCAGATGACACAAGTAGTCTGCTACTTGCAAAACGTCTCCACTTGTCACCATACAAGTTACATGTACATCTTCGTAGAGCCAAGGTAGTGGAGTAACCTCGATTCTTCAAGCAGTACGTGATATGCTCCATATGTGGAACGCTTCTGGGTTGCCATGACACTGCTTGGTGTGAGGATGGACGAGTAGGTTTGGCCAATATGGTAATCGTAAAACTGGTTCGCTGTGAAGATCTATGAGGTCTGGGAACCATAGTCTCGCTGGCCAATAAGGCGCTACCAAATTCAGTTGTAGCACCTCATCTGGTTGATCTTGCGTAATAGTTGAGGTAGCAGGATCGGTGTAGGGAAGGTGTAAGTCTTCATTCCCCCCCAGGATATGGCTAAGGTGTCGACAGCCCATGCCAGCGGGTCTGGCACTGGCGAGACGAACGTTGTCACCTGCTGGTTGAAACGGGTTGCAAACAGGTCGATGAGGGGACGGCCTGGTTGTGTTGTTACCCACTGGAACGCTTCTGGATGTAACTTCCACTCTGTGGGAGACGGCCGTACTGGTCTGGATAGGGCGTCGGCTAGGACGTTCTTTGCCCCTGGGATGTGGCAAGCCCTCATCTTCAGGTTGATTTCGTCTGCGATGTCGAACAGCTGGAACGTCAGTTGAAGCAACGGTGCTGAGGCCACTTTGGAGTTGTCCGTGTGTATCATCAGGACCTGATCTTCTAACTGCGCCGCCCAATATAGAACTGCTTCTCTTACTGCATTCAGTTCTAGCTGGTTGATGTGCAGACTCTTCTCTGTGTGTGACCACTGCCCTGCTGCAACCTCGTCGTTGAGATGTGCCCCCCAGCTTTGGAGGGACGCATCCACGTAGAGATGAAGATCGTAATCTGGCTCTCTCAAACAGGTTCCGCCGCAAACATTCGATCTTACTGTCCACCAAAGCAGGTACTGCTTTAGATGTTGCGGGATGGCGAACTTCTGGACATCGTCTAGATTAGCTATCAGGAACCTCTGTAGCAGTCGAAGTTGCAATCTTCCTCTGCGTGTGAGAGCCTGCGCCGACGTCAGTAGACCCAAGAGTCGCTGCCAGGTTCTTAAGTCTAGTGGAGTGTTGAGGGCGTCTGGTATGCACGACTGGATGCTCTGCCATTGGTCGTCTGGCACCAGGATGCGGTTCTCTAACGTCAGGAATCTGATGCCCAGGAGCTGTAGATGATTCACCAGCCAGCCCAACTGTGTCAGCAGGTTGATCGTAAACTGCAGCTGTAGTCTGAGTTGATCTGCATCTTGATGTGCCTGGATGCCGTCATCTAGGTAGAAGGCACTGCGTAGCCCCTTCTGATGGAGATAAGCGACAACCGTTTTGGTTATTCGCGTAAATAACCACGGGGCCGGAGTAACTTCTGGTATTACTTGGGCGACGAAAAGACCCCGAGTTGATGCCATGTGTAGACGGGAACTTCTTCTCTTTGGACCTCTGTATACCTGAGAAGCGGGGATCGTAGTTGACTGCGCTGAGTAGATTGACGCACCATGGTGTTCATCGTCTGGACCGACTTGATCAACATCAAGTCCTTGGGGTCTTGAGTTACTTCGCTCGACAACTGCCGGATGCCGCTGTCAAACAGTGCAGGCGCTGCCCAAGGTTTTCGTAGTAAAGGCTTGGTGTAGACATCTGTCCATGAAGAGGAACTCAGCAGCCCCTGACGACGTAATAGTGTCATGCCCACCGACGTAGAGGCCAAGTGATTGGAGATAAACTCCTGATCCTTGCGCTGTAACACTAGTGTAGACCGGATTATTCGTTCTTCTTCCGTCTTAGGATGCTTGAAAGCACACAACAGCGCTTCGTTGATGGCTCTTGCTAACCCGTAAAATGCCCTACGGGTTGTCGTATCAAGCTGCGCCAACTTCTTGTCTTCCACCTTGTAACCGCGAGACTTCGAATCTGATACAAGGTAGAAATCTTCATCGATGTCAGGCGCCTTGTTGAAGTGGTCCATGTTATGATGCCGGAACCGTCTAGTGCTGAACTGCGGAGTATGCAGCCCTTGTGTCTTCGAAGCCTTTTCAAAGGCAGTTTTCAGGTTGTCTGCAACCTGTGCAATGGGCTTCATTGGCGGTATGGTAATCGACTCGAAGTCATCTTCCTTCATGCAGTACGTCTCGGCCGGATTGGAGTCTCTGGATGGAGACGATATCGGGAGACCATCAGCCACCCATGCCAGTACCTCTGCCTCAGTGAAGACGAAGTCATCATCTTCTGCAGGTTGTCCCCCGCTCAACTGCTAGGCTCTGACTCGAGATGTCTACGTTGACTGCTGACGACGTAGTAAAGGACCGGTCTGCGATGTCTGCCATCATCTCAGCCTCTGCAGTGTTGTTCTCAGGAACCATCTGCTTCTTCTCCCGCTCTGGCCTCTTCTCCATGGCCTGCATCTTCCTATGGGTGATGGTGTCAGCAAAATCTACAACGTTGAGGACCTCTGCGTTCGTAATCGGACGCTGCTGCGGGATGACTGCAACTGACTCGTCTGTTGACATCGCTGACAACGTAGCATTTTCAAACGCCAAAGGGTTCTCAGCTGACATCTGCTTCTGCTGCAACGGCTGCGGTATACTGCCAACAGGAAGATGTAACATCTTCGATGATCTCACAGCATCACTGCCAGGGATAGACAGCGGGGCGATGACATCGGTGACGTCATACTTCTAATCTGCGCTGACAAGTTCTCAGCACTGGATACTCTCTGCGACACTGCAAGGAAGACCTCAGGCTGCAACACTGGAGGTCCCAAAGGACTGGAACCATCTACTTCAGCATCAGGCGCCCCAACATCTGTTGAAGGTCGTTGCATAGGGTTATGCAACGACGACCTCGAAGATCTTGTAGAGTGGGAAGATCTAGATGAATGCCTGGATGCCGTGGACTGCTTCCCTGAAGCGGCCGTCCGGTGTTTCTTATGTTGCGCCGTCTCTGCCTGTGGGGACTTCCTTTTACTTACAGTACGTGGGTAGACTTCTGTCCTACTGGTGACGTCGCAGACTTCGACTGGGATGACATCGTAGATCAGCACAACTCTCAAGACGTAGTCGCAGCAACTCACAGCACTCGAGACTGTATCACCTTCTCACGCTGGCTGGTTGAATCTGACAACAGGTTGTATAACTTTAGGCTCAAATTTTTCAATCACGTGTGAAAGATTTTGTAAGTCAGATATTCCACAATTCAACAGATATATGAAGTCATAAATTCAATAACTGTATACACATGATTATACACAATAATCAAACATCAAGACATATTCAACCCGTAAACCAGCCAAGAAGAACACCCAGGGTGTAAATCAAGCGTTGAGACGTGATGGACTGTTGTTTACATTGAAAACATGTGAACAGACAGTCACCTGGAACGAAGTGAAATTGTGAATTAATTTGACATAAAATGTAAAATTTTTATTATAAATATGATAAACAACATATCCAAAATATTTGAAGTTATAAGCCGTGAAGGGACACTCCGCTTGG